TGTGTAAAAAGAAGAAAAGTAATATGCATATTAAAGGAAAGACAACATCATAGTCGTCCTGAATTATATTCAGAGATGTGGGTGTGATTTGTATACCGAAGCCGATTTTTTTTCTCCATTTTAGGATGAAACGTTTAACGTTTCAACATTTATTGCAAGTGATAATGCAACAACAGGAAATGCAAAAAGTAAGTAACTATGACCCGATAACATGAATAATTTACTATTATAAATTATAATTTTAATTTAATTGCAGATATTTACTTTGGTCCAATATTTCAATTAATTTCAATGAAATTCAATTTTAATGTTAAATCTATAAATGTACAATTTAAGTCTATAAACGTCCAAAATTAGTAGCCCCAATATGCTCAAATGTGAATAAAATATCAAGGATAGGATAAATTGAATATGAATAAATGTAAAACATATTTCCTCATGTCATATTTAGCGCGCATTTGCAACTTACCTGACAGTATTCTAGGCTGCGTTTGGAAACGTTACCCAAGTGTACCCGTTGCATTGGAGTAAGCGAAATACAAGAGTGAGATAAAAAAAGAGGGAGAGTACTCAAGTGATGTTTTCGAACGCAGCCCTACTTCGTAGCTTGATATAGCATGGTATGAACCAGGTAGATATCAAAACGGTTAGCCACGCCTCTACCACAAGTTACCAAACACGCTAAAACGTTCTGGTACACTTTGGTACATATACCAAACGATCGCCAAAAATCAGCCCATGTGTCTAGCGTTCTTGTTATTCGTAACTCATCCGTGCGGAATCTCAACCCAAGAAGAACTCAATACTTCGCGCGTTGCTAACTATATAACTTTCATAGCATCAGATCTTGAAAAGATATCTTGGGAACTTGTGTGGATATTTAGAAGTCCTCGAAATATTTTTAGGATATTCCGAGGACTTATGCGGACATTTAGCAATCCTCTGGATGTCTTTGGGATATCTTTTAAATCTTATGCTATGTGGGAAATGATTTGACACACGTCTGTATCAGAATTACATCAACAAGTATTGATAAATTGGAAACTCGGAAGTTCTGTAGTCACTTGCATAATGAAAAAGAAAAAAAAGACGTCTTTATGATCGCAAAACGTGCCTTTCCAGTGTTGAAATATAAGCATTTCTCGTTATTTTAGGCCGGTAGTCAAGTTTTATATTTAAAACTGTTTTAATTTCACTTTTAAATACTCCATAGCCAATGAAAGGATCCGCATAGTATCTGAAGATGAACTTAAGACGGTCTTAAATATAAGACCGTAGTCCTATTCTGTAATTTGTTATTGGAGTTAACGACAATTTCGTTATCGTTGCGCAACTTTTGTATACCGTAGAAAAGCTGCGCAACGATAATGAAACTGTCGTTAACTCCAATAACGAGTTATAGAATCCCAGCTTTGAGCTCTTCCCTTATAGAAATATCATACTAAGAATCATTGATAATTACTTATTATCCAGTATTTTTAATACTAAAAATAAGTAATTATCAATGATTCTTAGTATATTTCTATAAGGGTTATTCTTGAAATAGTTGCATATACGTAAGTTTTACTGCGCAGGTTTAATCATACTATAAAATAGCTGCGCAATGAAAATTACGTATACGCAAAAATTTCAAGAATAGGGAGTCGATTGTGTACCTTAAAACGGAATGAAAATGACAAAAGTGAGCAAATTTACTAGAATATTTATAACTTCATTGGTTAATGCCTAGTAAATTTACTCACTTTTGTAATTTTCAAGATACACAATCGACCCCTTGACTATATAGATCTGTTTTCTGTTGCTGCACTACTGAACTGGTGCAATAAGTTAAAGTGAGACAAGCATATATTTTCTCATTCTAACTTATTGCACTAGTTCAGCAGTGCAGCAATAGAAAACAGACTCTATGAATACTGGCCTTAGACATGTAGAAGATATCGCCACGATTCCACGATATGTGATATAGTGTCATGTGTGTGTACGCGCGGCGCATGTGATACGTGTGTGAGTGTATGTATGTGTGCGTTGGAAGGGTGTCAGGTATGTAATCCCGACGTTACAACAGAAACGACCGAAATATCAAAGCACCCGCAAATGCTTGCAACAAATTCGCATTTGCTAATCACGAGACGGTGCCTTTCATCCTTTGTCCGTACGAGAGATCGTAACAAGTAATTTTCCGATCCGCGCATATTTAGCGAAATACTGAGAAATCGTGCGCCGCGCGTTCGCTGGCGCTTGCCACCGCGGCGGGGCGCCACGATCGATGCTGAGTTGCCGATGATAGCGCGCGTATTTATCGCACGGCTTTTCGATCCGGCCGACTTTTATTCGTGATAACGGCGGATTAGGCACCGGCGGAATATTTCGCCGGCCGGCGGCCGCGTCCGCGCGCAATTGCTCGCGCGGGACCCCCGCGTTGGGGCGCTCAGTGCGTTATGGAATGCGCGACGGGCAGCTACCGTGTTACGCGGCTCCGCACGATGCTCGGCCGAAAATGCACGCTAAACGCCCGGAAAGCCGTGCGCCGCGGCCGCCGTCTTGACGTCTCGCCGCCCGACATTGGACACGGTGCGTACCTCGGCCGCTGGCCGCCCACGCCGACCCGAGACGAGACACGCTCCCGTATTTTTCGTCGGTAGCACCGGGTATACGTGGCAACAGAGCGTGGCTGCCGTGCGAGCGCTGCTCTGTCACTTCCTAGTCAAGAGAATTCTCGTCGGCGGCACGACGAAACGAGGTACGTCGCATACGTATCGCCCACTCGTCTCGTCCCGCTCCACGGCCGTGCGTGCGCGACGGGGACGTCGCGAATATCGCACGGCGTGGATCCGTCTCGTCGACGTGCCCCCCACGCTGAAATCCGGATCGTGTACGCCGCCGCCGACAACGCTCGTCGCGCGATACGCTCGTTCTCCGTCGCGATCGCGTGCTCGCGGATCGCGCGGCGATCAGCAGCGCGTCGTGCTCGGGTCGTCTACACGCGCGGATTGTGTCCAGGTGCCCGTGTTGAGCGGTGATTTTCGTCCCCGGGCGAAGTGTGTACGACGACGACGCCGTCGCTACCGAGGATCGCCTCGAGGTTCGCCCAAAGGATGATCTGAGTACACGTCCGTATTCCGGGACGGATAAGCACACGTGAACCAGTGTACGCGCGTCTATTTATTTGGATACATAGTGTACCGCAGCCAGGAGTCCGTCCCCGTTTTATAGTCCACGAAAAAAGCGCAATAGGAATTTCATGCTGTAAGTTTCGCCTTTGGTTATCCGACTACTGGTGTTACGTACAGTCACATTTTACCGTATTTCGTCGCGCTGAGGACATCGAGAGGCTTGGTACTTGCAAAAATACATCTGTACGACCAACAGATACGCGCAATTCCGTAAATTTCGCCGTTGGTTACCCGACTACTAGTGTTACGTGCAGCCACTGTTTAGCATACTCTGTTGGGTTAATGGTATCAAAAGAATTGAAATGACGCAGTTATACAATCGAAAGGCTCAAAAACACAAATAAGAACTGTATGTGCAGTTTTTGTGTATTCTTAGTGTATATATGAATATTTGCAGGAAAATATGTGATATGAGTGTTTTGTAGGCAACCAAATCGTATCCAACCGATTACTTTGATCTAGTTTGGACTATTCTCAATTAACACAAACACACACAACACAATATCTATACATCTGAAGCAGCGACATGATATATGAAAAAAGGAAAATTATATAAATATATATAGAATTGTGTGTGTGTGTTTAAATAACCTTCTAATAATGAATTGTTATTGAAAGTGTTAATGATAGATCAGCGATTAGTCATTTTGTTCATATCTTTCTTACTAGTGACACACAATTCAACACAGATATTGATATTAATCTGATATAAAATCAAAAGGCTCAAAAATACGAATGAGAATTGAACATATAATTCTTAGTATATACTTAAATATTTACAGGATAATGTGTGATAAGAGTGTTATATAGGTAACCAATCATATCCAAGCGATCACTTTGGTCTATCCTAGGACTGTTCATAATAATTACAAACCCATACAGTATATCTATAGAACTAAAATATCAACATGATGTATGACAGGAGGAAATTAGTATAGATATATAGAATTATTTAAATAATTTTTAGAGTAATAATGCAATATCACTGCTGGAAATGTGCCAACAGTAAGTCAGCGATGAGCCATTTCGTCTATGCCTTCTCGCTAATGACACAATACAGTGCAAATGTTGATATTAATTCTGTTTTTCTCGCTACAGATATTTCCAATGGACCTACACATCAGCAGGCTGCAATGGGCTGACACAGAATGCGACTAACTTATTACACCTTGGACACTTGTCTCTCTGCAGCAGTGGCATTCTTGCGAGAGAGATAACTTGACAGGAGTTAATGGTGCTTCCACGCTGTTATCATTGTCCTCCTATCGATACAATGGAGGAGCCGGTTAAGAAGAAACAGCGTGTCGACGGTAGCGAGGATTCCAAGAACGCGCTTGCCGATATCGAGGAACTGCAGAACAGCCTGCTCGCGCAATGCCTGTGCAATGTGTCGGAGAGCAGCCTGCGCAAGCCGTTTACCAGTACGACCGTGGAGGCAGCTGACGGTAGCTTCCGCTATTTCGTCCTGTCCGAGTGGAGCAACGAGCAGACCCTCAAGTTTCTGAGCGCGTTGCAGCTGCTGTTCGACCTGGCGATCAAGCAGAACGTGAGAGGCCTGATATGCAAGCGAGTGTTGGACACGTGTAAAGCGTTGGCGCGCAACGAACATGGCGTGATCGATCAGATAATCGATCTCTCCTACACAACCGACAAGTTCGTGTCGTTCGCCGCGAGCCGAGTGCTCGCGTCGTTCTTCATCGTCACGAAGGACAACGTGCAGCCGTGGTTGGAGAAGCTCACGCAGTCCTTGGTGAATACGCACTCGCCTGGCCAGATGCTGTTCATCCTAGACGTGGTGAAAAGGGTGGTCGAGCACAAAGACTGCAGTATACACCCGTTGGAAGACGCGGACGCGTCTACACCGCCGCCCGGCTGCAACACCGTCGTAATCTCCGATTCCGAAAGTTTCGACAGCACCGCGATCAAGGCAATGTGCGTGAAGGCGCTCGAGTCCAAGTGGATCATCCTGGTGTCCAAGTTCGAGGCCATCCTCAACGCATATACGCCACAGCACGAATCTGTTGTGATCACGTTCCTGCATCTGTGGGAAACCGTGATCTCCGTGAAGGCCAATCTGTCAGTCATCGACACCAAGCTCTTCTACTCGCAATTGGACAACCTCGTGATGCTACTGAACGCGAACGTTCCTAGCGTCATTTGGCGACACCTACTCAGTCTGTTCAATGAGGTGTTATGCTACGGTAGCACTCTCGCGCTGCAGGATGTGTTGCCGGACGAGCCGTGTTCTCTGGCGCATCTGATCGTACGTGCGGTTAAGGATTGGAGATTGCTCGACGCGATGCCGTACCGTCACGGCTCTGGCCGATTCGGCGGGGGTACCGGCGAAGGTGACCGTCCACTGCTGCAGAAGATGGTGCTGCTGGTACTCAAGAGCGTCGCCGTGACTGTACGGGAGACACGCAGCGATACCAGCGACTCGTCTCTGGGCTCCGAGGCTGAGGACTTGGATGCGGACATGGCGGTGATCGAGAGAAGCATCCGCGAAGTTTTGCGCCAGCTGGACCAATGCGTCAAGGCGCTGATGCCGTTCCATCCGGAGATGCCGCTGTCGCAGTGGGTCGTGCAGATGTTTCATGATCAGGACGACTTTCTCATCGAGGGTATGGTGTGCTGCTTGGACGTCGCTGTGGGCCTCTTCTATCGCGGCCCGCCGCAGAACGATCTCGGCCATATGCTGAGTCCAACGCTCACGTTCGTCCAATTCGTAAACGCCGTGTCGCAGGATCCGGATGTGTTGTTGGACCTGCTCGTCAGCAACGAGACCTGCTTCCTGCTGTACCTACTACGATTCCTCAAATACATCCGACGCAACTGGCTCGAGTTCGTGTCGTGTTGCGGTCGCGAATTGCCAGACATTATGACAGTACTGACGAGACTGCGAATGGCCATCAATCGACTGGTGTCTAAGGCACTGTTCCCGTACAATATTAATCCGGTTCTGCGTCTGCTCGACAAATGCGAGTCCTTTTACGAGGGTAACGCGGACAATTGAGTGTGTCGGTGGTGTAAGATAACAGGAGGCAGAGCGGGGAGTCACGTGTCAGGTCAGCGTGTACAGATCGTATGGACAAGAGTATTCTTTCTCTCTCTTTCCGTCCTATACAGTAGCTAGGATCGTTCTCGCCGTCTTCGCCGTCATCTGTAAAATATCGCGAAGCTGTACAGATCGCCGCATCTCCGCGTTTTCCGCGTACAAGCGACTGAACTAACGCTGTCTTCGTAGCACTTTGTAGCTAACTAAGAGCGAGGCTTAGGAAGAGCGCGATCGAGCGCGTTTCTTATTTATTAGTTCTAGCGAAATTTCGCAAACGTAGTTGGAATTGCGACGGGGCACTGCGCACCCTTCGTCCTCTGTTAGCGAATGCACTGGTTTTCAGTCTCGTAATTGTCCCGTATTGTCGACGATTACGAATCGGACCAGCACAGTCGTCTGCGTAAAGATTGCGACACTTGTTTTGAACAAGCTCATACAATACGATATTGACACTTCCAACTATAAATTACTTTTGTACACCTCGTATCTAAAAATTTGACAGTCAGAGATTCTCAAACAGAGAACCAGTCCCGTTAAAAAGTGTCGCGGACTTTATGCAAGAGACTGTATATATAAGGCCGGGCGAAATTCGCCAGTCGCCATTATGTCACCCCGAAATCTAAACTGCATTCGTGTGGTGCTAATAAAAGTACGCTTTTGCCAAAGCACCATTGGGAAAAATACATCATAATGTTGTATACCACTAGGATAGTATTTATGTGTATACTTCAGACTATATATGTACAATTTGCCAATCGAGAGTAGAATATCTTTGTAAATGGAATCTTGTTTGTATTTCCACATTTTTGCGAATCGTGTACATAAAACGTAAACAAAAAAGAAGAATCAGTTTACAAGGCCGGCTATTTGATACATCTTGCAGCACACGTTTGCTGGATCGCTGGGTTTCATCGTCTTTTCTTTTAAAATTACTTTTGAAAGACACGGAAAAGCAACAATAGAAAAGAACTTTCTGTGTTGTTTATCCATGATTAGATATTGCGTAAATACAATAAATAAACTGCGACGCGTAGAAAATTTTGGAAGCCAGATCGGATTTTGTGCAACTTTTATGTGTAAAAGCGTGAATTTTATAGTTTCATAAATTTGCTCAATTCTCAAGACAATTTTCAACAGTCGCTAACATACGGCGACAATACTACGTGATGTACTCTCTTCGTTAGCGTTTCATTATTAAACTACACAAACGAGAACTGTAATCTTTCACGATATTAGCACTGCTTCCGGATGGATAAAAAAAGAGGGAAACAAAAACGACGTTATTCGCAACCGTCTCGAGATATCTCTGATAAAAACCTATATTTGTAAATAGCAATATTAACAACGATTAATTAATGCGTGGCGTACGCAGATAAGATTTCCATTCCTGTAAGTACTCATGTAACGCACGAAAATTCTCAATTTTTACTTTTATAATTGTGGTGTCGTTTAATTCAATCTTTCCCTGATCGAAGATTATATTTTCTATCGGAAGTCATGACATCGTTTGAAGTAGGTTTCACGTAGTTTCGTAGGAAGAGAAATTCCTCTATATCAATCGACTGTCGAGACAAAGATTATTCTCTTTTTCTTTTCCAATCAAATATTTATTATCGCCTCCTCTCTCTCCTTCCTTCCCTCTCAACATACAAGTCGAATACATTTGTCATTATCGAGACTTACGATTATATAGCCCGGTAGATTGTCTGTGATGTCCCAAAAGATTGGTCGCTACGATGTTTGTTACATTGATTAGAGCGACGTAACGCGCGCTGTGTTGTTGGGACAAACCGTTCGAATCTCGAGAGACCGATACAATTGAGTCCGTAAACGTTAGCCTTTTCATTTTTGTGTTTTGTGTCTCTCTTGTTTTTATATAAAATTACATTACTCTCTATTTAAATTTTCGCAAATGTAGCTCTAATTGTTCAAACGTCCGATCGAGAAATTTTGCGTCGAGCAGGGCAATTTTAAAACACAATCCCTTTTTACTAAATATTTATATTTGTGTATTAAATCATTATATGTATATATATACACACACATATGTGTATGCATGAATATATATATACACACACATATATATATATATATATATATGTATGTATAAATATATTCTCAATAAATCACTATTTCACAGCATCATTTTCCCATTTAACACGAAAACTTAGCGATATCGTATATTGCATATTAAGCTTTTTTTTTATCTTTTTCTTTTTTATAAATTAATCTTTTTATTTGCGTTCATTTCATTCGAAATGTGTTTCTCTGCCCCAAATCGGTAAAACTATCATCGCGTATTTTACACTGACGTACGAAACTACACGAAACTGTACATATCTCTGTAAAGTTTTGCTCTTTGCGAAACAGCAAATGTCCACTGCTCTGTAACTGCCCTGCAAAAGTTAGTTCAACAAGCTCCACTAAATCAACAACAGAATCTAAGTTACATAGCCCATTGTTAGTATCACGTTCAACAGTGTGTGGTACATGTGTGGACCATTTTTGTCGCATTTTATCTCTATCTCCCTTCCTCCCCCGTCCTACCTCTCTCTCTCTCTCTTTGCTTCTTCTTTTCCGTATTTAGCCGTTGCTACACATGTTGTTGCGTTATCAATAATAAACCGCTAATCATCCGTGGCACACAACAAAGCATTCTTTCTTTCTGTACACGTTATCTTAAATGAAAGAAAAAAAATGTTCGATCGGTCGCAACAGTGGTAAAAGCGATTCAAGCGATTTTCGTCGTAGTCTCGTAACAACATATGTGAGGCATGAGAGGAATTAAAACGTCACGAACATCGTTAAAAGAGACAGCTTCGTTTTCATTGCGAAAATATACAACAGGCTGCCGTAGTCATCATCATCATTATTATCAACATCGACATCGTCACAATCATCATTAGCGTCTATGCGCATTCAGACGAATTTATCGTAGCTCATTAAACGAGGATCGTTCAGTTTCGACGTATGTTTGGAAACACGTATAATTTGCACTCGAAAGAAAAGCATCACGCTCGATGTTTTTACAACGTAAAACATCGATTAACTCGCTCTTTACGCGGAAAAAAGAAAGACAAAGGGAAAACGCGATTTGCAGATAGTTTCGTTGAACGCTCGCCGCGTTACGCAAAAGAGCATATACGATATCACGGCGGTCACCTCGCATCTCGCATCACTACGCATATATACTTATTGTTTCGACTATACCTATCGGTGTTACTCAACATTATTGCACGCTTACATCAAGCCAGCTCCTTCCTCTGTTCCCCTTCTTCTAATAGGAAATGAATTTGCAAGCGACATCAACTCACCACTACGGGAAAGGATTTCAGCGTGTGACTGGGTGCGTGTGTGTGTGTGTGTGTATGTATGTGTGTGTCTCTCTCTGTCTTCTCATGAGATTTCATTAAAACGAAGTCTTCCCGCACCGGTCGGTCATATGAAACGATCTAAAAAGGGAAACTGAAATACTTGCGGATGTAATAAGTGTGTCGTGTGATACAGATAAACAGCACGCGCGCGCGTATATATATCGGGTGTAATGGCAAATACAATCAGGCCATTGACACACGGATCTTTCTACTAACCAGAAGCCTTGAAACGTTCTATAGTGAAAAGTAGCGATTCTCTCTCATTCTCTCGCACGCCGTCTCTCTCTCTCTCTCTCTCTCTCTCTCTC